TTCAGAGCTTTCCAATCCTTGACACTAGGATTGTTGACTTGTCTGCTTAGCAAATTACAGCTAACAGCAATGTCTGGTCTTGAACATCTGGCAATGAAGTTTAGCTTGCCTAGCACACTCCTGTACAGTGTAGTGTCAGAAAATGCTTCTTCAGTGTCATCTACCTGATAACCTGTTGTCATCGGTGTGTCTACAGGGTTAGCATCCATCAGATTTAGTTTGCTTAACACATCAGCAATTTTCCGTGACTGGTGTACTAGAATGTTACCATCTTGATCTCTCTCTATTTCCAGAGATAGGTAGTTGTTTACCTTACCAAGATCTTTCATGTCAAAGTGCTCTTTCAGTTGAGCTAGGGCGCTATTGTACATTGCGACATCTTTCCAAAAGAATAATAAATCATCAACATAAAACAAACAGTACAGTTTCTTTTGCCCCTCCTCTTTGACAAATACACATGGATCAGCTTTCCCTTGCTGAAAACCTAGAGAAAACAATACTTCAGTGAGTTTTGTGTGCCAACACCGTGCACTTTGTTTGAGACCATAAAGGGATTTCTTCAGAGCACAAACAAATCCCTGTTTTACCTGTACGCCATCAGGTGGAAGCATATAAAGTGATTCATCTAGAGATCCGTACAGAAAAGCTGTATTAATATCATGGTGACTAATGTGTAGATTTTCCTCTGCAGCTAGCTTGAGCATAAGCCTAATGCTTTCATATCTCACTGTGGGTGAATAGGTCTCGTGATAGTCTTCACCTGGTACCTGTGCAAAACCTCTGGCTACCAATCTGGCTTTGTGTCTGACTATCTTGCCATTTTGATCTGTCTTCGCTTTGAAGACCCATTTGCTTCCAAGCAGTTTCATTCCTGGAACTACTGGAACTAGCTCCCATGTTTTGTTCCTTTCTAAGGAATCAAGCTCAGCCTTCATGGCATTTAACCATGGCTCAGCTTCCTTTGAATCCAAACCCTGGATTTCTTGGAAACTTGAAGGTTCAAATACCTTCTTGGAGCTTTTAACAGCTGTTACTGCTATCGTAGCAAACTCATCAGCAAATCTCTTTGGAGGTTTGCCTTTGTGGCTCTCTGTGACCTACGAATTAGCCTTAAGTCTTCAACACTCTCCTCTTCCTTCTTAGGAGAAAAACGACCTATTGTGAACAATGGTTCCTCCAATTCTTGATCAGAGCTTTCAGAGGGTCGCATAGAGGCTTTCGCACTCTCGAAATCCTCTGAATCACCCGATTCAGTTTCAGATTCAGACTCAGAACCTTCATCAGTGGGTGTGGGTTGTTGTGGTTGCTTTTGACTATCCTCAGTCTCATCACCGTCATCAGGATAACATTGGAAAATTCCCACATTCTCCCCCACTTTGCATTGTACTCAACACTTCTCGTGAGCTTAATTGTCTTAGAGTCAGTCATCATTATTCTGTAAGACCCTTTCTGATAACCTAGAAAGATACCATGCAATCCACGCTTGTCTAACTTGGAGTTTTGTGGTGAGCGAACCCACATGTCAGAACCAAAATCTTCATGTGTTTTTTGTATGGCTTCTTGCCAAACATCTTCTCATAGGGGTACAACCAATCGCTGAAGATAACCTGCGATTGTAACTGTAAACAAAACACGAGAGAGATTCGGCCCAATAACTCTCTGGAAGATTGGCATCATGCAGCAAGGTTTTTAAGCCTTGAAGCAATGTCTGATTTGCCCGTTCCGCAAGTCCATTCTGCCATGGCGAGCGAGGACTAGACAAATCGTGTTGAATTCCTTTCTCAGTCAGAAAAGCTTCAAACTGCTGAGAAGTGAATTCCCCCCCGCGATCACTGAAAAGAGTCTTTATCTTCTTACCATGCACATTTTCCAACCAAGCACAGAATTCCTTGAACCTAGGAAAAGCCTCCGATTTCTGCTTGAGATTGTACACAAAAATATATCTAGAAAATGCATCAATGAGAACCATGAAGTATCTATTTCCACCCAAAGAGGGCGCTAGTGGTCCAACCAAATCAGCATGAACAACCTGGTATGGTTCTGTAGCTTTCCTACTAGACACCTTACCTTTCGCAGCCATTTTCACTTTGTTTGCTGCGCATGCTTTGCACTTCATGTGGTACCTGCAGGGTTTAATAGTCATACCTTCAACCAAGGCAGGCATTTTAGATACTGCCTCAAAATGCAAATGACCAAATTTTCGATGAAAATCGTGAATACATTCTGCATGCAAACTTTTGTTAGAACCTGCAATGCAACAAGTGTCATCCTGCACCACATCATCATAATACAAAACAAACAAATGATCAACATATTCTGCATGCAATACATAATCATTTTTCTTTGTGATGATGCACTTCTTGTTCTTGAAGGAAACGTCAATGTTCCGCTCATTCAGCTGTCCAACGCTGAGCAGATTATGTTTGGCGTCTGGCACGTAAAGCACATTCTGTATCGATAAGTCCAAACTGTGAAGAACAACAGTTCCGTAGCCTTTACTGGGAATAGTGTGGTCATCCGCCTGGTGAATCGCACCTTCCTGCGGTGTAAAAGACACAAACAGTTTCTTATCGTTGCACATGTGGTGGGTGGCCGCTGAATCAACAACGAAGAAAGATCTAGACGTCTTCTGGACCTCTGCAACCTTTGGAGTGAAGCGTGAAACCATAGCCTTGTGCTGCGTTGTCCTAGACACCGGACCTTTGCCTTTGCCTCGGCCTTTTCCGCGCGATGAGCTTTCGCTGCGCTGCTCTGTCTTGGCCCTGGGATGTCTGCATTCCCTCTTCATATGGCCTAGACGTCCACACGAGTAGCATTTCACTGCCTTCAAAGCTTTGGCGCCATCTGGTGGTTCCACTGCACTATGGGATGACGTCTGTGAAGACTCCCCTTGCCCATGCAGCTAGCACCCCGGCGATCTGCTTCATTTAAAATCACGGCAGTAACAAAGTCCACTGTCAGCTGAGCAGTTGGTTGCACAGCAATCTGGGTTGCAACAGACTCCCAACCTGAACCCAAAGATTGTAGTATCATGAAAGAATACACAGCCTCTGGAAAGTTGAGTCCTCTCTGTTGCAGCTCATGTCTCAGATTTTGCATCTCCATCAGATGTAAACGCACATCTCCACCTTCAGCAAGAGCCATATTATGCAGCTTGTTAAAATAAAACATAGTGGATCCAGCTTCTGTCCTTAAGTGAGCCTCTCTCAGAGCGTCCCAAATTTCTCTGGCTGAGGTCTTATCACGCAATAGACAGAGCTCTTCTGGGGATACTATCAATGTAAGAGTTCCCTTGCTTTGGAATCCTTAGCTTTCCATGCATCTGTAACTGGAACTGGGGGTTTCTGTAATCACCTCAAACAAACCCTCTTTCCGCAGAATTGCCTCTGCATACTGAACCCAGTCGCTGTAATTTTTCTTGTTGAGCTTAGGAATCCCACAAGCATCCTGAAGGGCCATCATGACTCTGGCATTAGCCTTCAGCGTCATATATGCTGCTTTAAATCTTGCTGCGTCACTGCTGCAGCTGCTTTATTACAAAAGCGCACTTAAAAGTTACTTTCGATTTCCCCAGCATAGTGACTTGTGCCTGGGAGCCTTTTGCCTATTCCCGGCAAACCGGCTTTAAAAGTTCAAAGTCCAACCATAAAGCCATTAACTTGAAGCTGGCAGGCTGCCCGGAGCAGTAGCACATACCTCATCAATCACCTCTACGCGCAGAGCAGATTCCTTTCCGATCCGTCCTCTGCATTCCGATCCTTTGCCGGCACTCCGATTCGACCTCTGGAGCCCATAACCACGTGTTGATTTAAAGCAGAGTCTGCGTGCGCCAGCGGAAGGATGAGGAGTACGTGCTGCATACTCTATATTGCTTTATTTACAGTTCAAAGCTGGTATATTACAGAAAGACATCTTGCCTCTGCCGGAGCAGAAAATGCATCCTCTCTCCTCAACAGCTCGGAGAGAATCACACAGTGAAAAACAGGAAACCAGTGTACGTCACATCCAGTCTCCCTTTCCCGTGAGAAACTCCAACAGTACAGACTGTGGAATGTAAACACCTGTCTCGTGACAAGCAGAGCTGCACAGTGAAGGAAAGCAGAAACCAACAGTTCAACCCTAAAGCAACCATGACACATAGCCTTCCAACCTCTGCTTGAAAACCTCCAAGGAAGGAGAGTCTGCCACCTCTCATAGGAGTCAGTTTCACTGTCAAACAGATCTTACATTCAGAAGGTTTTTCCTGATGTTTAGTTGGAATCTCCTTGCTTGTAACTTGAAGCTGTTGGTTTGGTAGGGCGTCTCATTTTACGGAGTGAAACTTAATTTTTGCAAATTTCTGGTATCATCTGCAAATCTGATGGGCATCCCTCAATTCCTTCACCCAAGTTGTTTATAAAGATGTCGAACAAAAACAGGCCCAGGACAGAACCCTGTGGCATTCCACTTGTCGCCGTTTCCCAGGATGATGAAGAACCATTCGTAAACACCCTTTGGGTTTGGTCAGTCAACCACGCACAAATCCACCTAACAGTAACCTCATCCAGCCCACATTTTACAAGTTTCTCTGCAATAATATCACGGGGGACTTTGTCAAAAGCCTTACTGAAATCAATATACACTACATTCCTAGTGTTCCCCTGGTCCACCAAGCTTGTAACTCTATCAAAAAAAGAAATGAGATTCACCTGGCATGACCTGTTTCTGAGAAACCAGTGCTGGGTCTTGGTAATCACAGAATCATTTTGTAAGTGCTTACAAAATTGCCTGTTCTCGGACCTTTCCTGGTATCAATGTCAAGCTGACTTGTTGATAGTTACCCGAGTTTTCTCCGGGCCCCTTTTGAAGATGGAGACATTTGCTTGCCTCCAGGCCACAGGGACCTCACCTTTTCTACAAGAATTATCAAAGAACACAGAGGCTCTAAGATTACATCTGCAAGCTGCTTTAGTTCCCTTGAGCCCTGGAGATGATGAAACATACAAACAAGCCTTTACTTGGTGGAATACTGGGCAACGTTTACCAGGGGTGCCCAAACTTTTTTCAAAGAGGGCCAGATTTGATGAAGTGAACATGCGCATGAGGGTCAACCTTTTTATGATTTTACTCCAAAGTTGTTAAGCTTTTTTAAGGATTTGAGAACCAATACATAAACTGCCCGGATTAGGCCCCCAAATGGACTTTGGACATGTCTGGTTTAGCCTAAAGCGGAATGCTTTTCACCAAAGCTTTCAACAGTTCCAAAAAGTTGTTCCATCACGTCATTTAGCGCAGAAGCAGCTGAAGATGGGAGCAAGTGTGTTCAGTCATCCAGGATGAAAACAGAAAGCACACTGGGGAGCCAGTGTGGTGTAGTGGTTAAGAGCGGTAGTCTCGTAATCTGGGGAACCGGGTTCGCGTCTCCGATCCTCCACATGCAGCTGCTGGGTGACCTTGAGCCAGTCACACTTCTTTGAAGTCTCTCAGCCCCACTCACCTCACAGAGTGTCTGTTGTGGGGGAGGAAGGGAAAGGAGAATGTTAGCCGCTTTGAGACTCCTTAAAGGGAGTGAAAGGCGGGATATCAAATCCAAACTCTTCTCATCTTCTTCTCACTCTGAATTGGTTTCATGACATCTTCATATAGCCGAATCTGATATGTGATGATATTGTGACATCATCATACTGGCCATGTGAACCTCATGGTTATCTTCCAGTTCAGATCATCCTCCTTGGGCTGTTTTTTTAATTTGCGAGGAGAAATGGGTTGGACGGAAATGGGTTGGGGGAAAGGAAAGAATCACAGAATGCTGCACAAGATGTAGCTTGAGTGCGAGTCACAATGCCCTGCAATTGATGACACATGAAAATTCCGAAACGCTAAGCTCTGTCAAAGTGCTCATAGAGAAGTACCTAGATCAAAACCGTGAGTTCACTGAATTGAGACAGCAAAGTAGCTTTTCTAGCAATGCTCAGTTTTATCATATTTCCACAGTCTCGGCTTTGGTTTCTTCTCATTTCTAAGCTATGAGAAAAGAATTGTTTTTAAGTGAACGTTTTTACACTTCGCTACAATTATGAGCCACAATGTGGTATGAAATGAGCGTGCATATCGCAGGGTTTTTAATGACAGTATTTCCTATAGTTAAACATAAGGATAACTAGCTAAACTGACTTCAAAATATAATTTTGTTTTTGAATGCTGTTTTCCTAGTCACTGCTGTTCTAACTATGACATTAAAGCAACAAACGCTTTATCTACCAAAAACAAACGTTGCATTCCCTTCACCAAGTGGCAACTCCGCTTGTAATAAAATTAAGTGGAACTCCAATGAAAAGGTTTTCAGCTGTGTGCAAAGAAGAAACATAGAATGCGGACTACCCGCGCCACATGCTTTTAACCCAGGTTTTTATTCTCGGAGAAAACAATACAGTAAAGCTCATATTGAAGAGGATCTGTACTGTTCTGGTAATACTATCATGTAAGTTTCCATATACTGAAAAGGCTTTAATGTGTGGGTCTTTAGAACTAAAATATGGTAGAGTGTTTCTGTGGCAGTATTTCCTGAATTGAACAAAGGAAACAAAACAGCAACAACACTTTTTTTGGCCATGCTTAAGGCTAAGCTGCGCCTGCTGCAGTAGATCTTTTGACTGGCTCTTCCAGTTTTCTTTCCGACTCCAATCCTACGTAAACTAACCTGGAAGTAAGCCCCTACTGACCTCAGTATCACTTAGTTCTGTTAACGCCTCCCCACAATCTGCTGCTATTTATCCTCGGGGTCAAGAGAAAGTGTTCATCTCCTTCCATGCACCTGGGCCTCAACTGTATTTGCATCAAACACACCCATCTCTTTCCATGCACCTCAGCCTCATCTGTATTTGCATCAACTGCATTTGCATTTGCTAGACCGCTATCAAACTTTTGCATGGGATCCGAGTGCGGGTTTGCAGCCGCCAAGTCGCTCGGTCCTAACTTCTTGGCGACTCAAGCGCGTGCCCTCTTCTGCATGCAGGCAAGAAACTGCTAATGTAAAACAGAAGGCGGGCAAAAGCTGCTTTAAAAACACACACAACACGAATGCAACCATCCCGCCTTACCCGATGTAGATTTTTCCACCCCCGCCCCACCCCCCCAGGGGAAAGATGCTTTCCTCTGACAATTTAGGCTGAAGGAAACGACCATTTCCCTTTGCAAATAACTGCGGCCTGCGCGCACAGAGAAAGCGAGGGAAAGAGAGGCGGAAGGCAGGGAATGCAGCCTGGCTCTTCTGGACGTCCTTGCATCCCCGCAGCTGAGTTTGCAGAAACTGCAGTCCAAACAAACGCGAAGGGTGGCGACGCCGAGATGCCCGAAATGCAAAAGGGGCCGGTGAAGAGAAGGAGGGGCAGGAGAGGATAACTCGCGGGGCTGAAGGAGACCTCCCCCCCACCAAAAAAAATGCAACGCTGGATATGAGGCGGCGTGAGGTTGGCTGCTGCCCGGAATAGGGCCAGGAAGGCGCCGCCTCGCGCCTGAGGAGGAAGGACCCCCCCCCCGGCCCGTTCCCATGGCGACTGCTTTCCTGTAACGCGCGCCGGGGCCCGAAGGAGGAGCGCGAAGGCCTTGCTTGGCTTCGAGGCCATGCACCACCCTATGGAGGCTGGTGGGGGAGAGCCCGCTTCTTCTTCTCCTGCTGCTGCTGCCTCGGAGACGAGCGGGAGTTTCGGGGGCTTGCCTGGGTATGGGGGGAGAAGAGCCTCGGGACCAAAAAGATGGCGGGGACAGGGAGGCCCCGACGCCAAGGAAGCGGCGCGCCACTTGCCTCCCCAAGGGGAGATGCCGCGGCCTCAAGTTCGCGCTTAAAACACTCGCCTTTCTTGCTCTCCTCTCCTCCCTTAGCCAGTAGGTCCTGCAGGAGGGCAAGGGAGCCTGCTTTTCCCAGCTCCAATTCTATACCCTCCAATATTTCTCCCATGAAAATAGAAATGTCCCCTCCAACATGTCTCCAATGAAAACAGGGACGTCCTATTCCATACCCTCTAATATTTCTTCAGTGAAAATAGGGAAGCCTTATTCCATACCCTCCAACATTTCTCCTGTGAAAATAGAGACATTCCCTCCAACATTTCAACAATGAAAATAGGGGCATGATATCCTCCAACGTTTCTCTAGTGAAAATAGGGATGTCCTATACCCTCCAATATTTCTCCGACGAAAATAGGGACATCCAAAGGAAAAGTGGGACATTCCCGGCTCAAATCAGAAATGGGGATGGCTTCTGTAAATCTGGGACTGTCCCTGGAAAATAGGGACACTTGGAAAAGGTCTGCATTCTCCCTCCAGATTGGAATGGGGTTCAAAAAACCCCATCTCTGGACGTTTCTCCCCCCCTCAAGTGAGGGTTAAAAACAGTTTGGCATTCCCCAGGTCGCTTGGTTTTCATTTTGTTCTTGCCCATGGTGGGAACTGTGGCTAATCCCGTCTCCCTGCCATGTGTATAAATGTGACAGGAGACATGGGGAACATACATTTGTTGCAAAGGGATTAAGTGATGGAAAGAAAGGAAAGAAAATTGCATTGATTAGGGTGCATGTCTGATGCAAAATTGCCTTCCACCCACTTTCCGCCTTGTTAGAAATGTGGCTGCATGGGTAACAAATAGCAAGGCGCAGCCAAAGCATTACGAATGGCAATGTGCATTGCTGTTTAGCACTTCATTTCTCATTTCCCCTTTCATTCTTTTCCCAGCCTAAGTAATACCTGCAAATTAATGAGCCCCTGTTGTTTCCCCGGGACTCTAGTGCTTCACACTTCTTTTTTTCCTGATTAAGGCAATGTATAAAAGGTAAAGGGATCCCTGAACATTAGGTCGAGTCGTGGCCGACTCTGGGGTTGCGGCGCTCATCTCGCTTTATTGGCCAAGGGAGCCGGTGTACAGCTTCCAGGTCATGTGGCCAGCATGACTAAGCCGCTTCTGGCGAACCAGAGCAGCGCACGGAAACGCCATTTACCTTCCCGCTGGAGTGATACCTATTTATCTACTTGCACTTTGACGTGCTTTCTAACTGCTAGGTTGGCAGAAGCAGGGACCGAGCAACGGGAGCTCGCCCCGTCACGGGGATTCGAACTGCTGACCTTCTGATCAGCAAGTCCTAGGCTCTGTGGTTTAACCCACAGCGCCACCCGCATCCCATAAAGCAATGTATACACCCCAGTTTATTCTGCAACCAATGTGCTCCCAATGCAGTTTTGGGAAGTGGTGTATGCACAGGTGTTCGCCACCATATATATCCTATTGTTTCTTGTGAAGTACTGCATTCTGATACATTCTCTCTCAAACCAGCTTTAATCTGAATCGAGAAAAAAACAATTTAGCTGCACTTTAAGCCAGTAATGAGTACACAGCCTCAGTCCCTTTTCCCACCGTTCATATACAGCATCTCTTTTCCTGATTTTGCCTAACATATCTGCTTCTTCTGATTTTTATTCCTATTGCACACTTCATGTCTTTTTCCTTCTGCTCTTCTTATCAAATCACTCCGGATCTAGGTCCTTCTAGACAACCTATTTGCGTTGATGTCATAAGATCAAAGCACCTCTTTCCAAATAAAAGAATATTGTTTTTTCTAGTCCCTCAGACAATGGGAATGTCATTGTGCATGTGTCACCTATTGGATAGTGCCTATGAAACTGCTAGGAGTCACAACAAAAGTCATCCTGCTCTGTCAATATGCTTTGGCTTTGTTAAATAAATGCTAATTTTTCTTTTCTTTTATTGCTTTATTAATTTCAGTTCCTTAATGTATGCATTCACGGTGCCCCATGAGAGTCACTGCTCAGCCCATGTTTTACTTTTCTTTTTTATTAGTAAACACTGTGAGCCAGACCTTGCCTCTCCCCAAAGGAATGCTCCTATTTTTCAAACTTTTTTTTTTAAAAACACACCAATGTAATCATTTGGAGAAGGACTCTCTCCTCTGCTGTCCTGAATCAGCACTTTGATTTGTTAAAAAAGAAAAGAAGTAATGACTTTCACCTGTTACTGTGTTAGCTGGAGTTGGAACAATCCTTACTCTAAGAGCGTGGGGTGGGGAGCAGGATCCTATATGACCTTTCACCCCTCCTTACTCTGTCATCTGCTGTCACCGACTGCTCCTTTGTAGTATATCCTTCTGCCATTCCCAGTTTTCTTATACCCATAAGCCTACCCAGATGAATATTAGCTTGTTTCCTGGTGGACAGTTCACAACTATACCACAAGCATGGATGTTTCTTCTTTCCATGACACTGTAACACCATGGTGATCTTTTTTATTTTGACTTTGGCAATCCTAACCCTAGCACAGAATATAACTTGGTTGTGCCTTTTGTCACCATGCTTTGTCATTAGGGAGATCCTCTTTCCTGCCTAGCCCATCTTGATTTCTTTATCTTTTTGTTTCATTCCTAATCTGCATCTAGGTTGGTCAGGGGAAGTAAGAACAACAAGTCTGCTAGCTTAGTGGGAAAAGAAGACTTTATACCTGGCATTTATGGGAACAGCACCTTCTCTCGCCAGGTACACTAAACTTTTAGTCACAGAGACAGCTTTAAAACTATGTTTCTTCTGCACATCCAGTCTTGTGACCAAGTAGGTATGAATTTGTCACATTAATAATATAATACATTCTTATCCCTATATTTAAGGTGAGTAGTTCAGTTCAGTTACAAGGAAAAGCCATACAAATGTGGAATAAAAACAACAAAAGCCTGTCTTTTGATAGGTTCCAAGGATATGCACAAGTTAACAAAAAATGGGAAGTAACTAACAAAATGCTGTCCTGTAAGTATTTTTGTGCTTGGTCAAAAACTCAGAATGGCAGCTTGAGACTTAACTTAAAAAATAAATCTTGCACTGATGGTAAAAAGGGTTCTAGTCAAACCAAACCAAGAGCCAAATAAACAAGGCCCAGATTACAAGTCTCAGGTGTCTCAAAGATGCAGAACTGATAATTGGAAAGTCCGACTAACCTTTTTTTTCATTTGTAAGAATAATTAGAATTTTCATGAACTGTATTTGCTTATTGGTTCAAAGTGGCTGCAGACGTGGAAAGCTCTCAGAGCTCCCCATCCTCACTTCTTGGAGTGGAGTATATGCTGGCTTTGACATCGTACTTGTTCTTTTGTAAAGAATTATTAGATGGTGTGGGGAAGGGGGGGTGAATCTTACAATATTCTTACATCGAGTCTTCTAAATGTGGAGAAGGTGTGTGGTGCTGTGCAGCTACGCTTCCTGGTGGCAACATGCAAGGTATCTCATTCCATGCCAGTCATTCTTGGAACACCCAGCTTACAGAGATAAGCCCAGATACAAAGCTAGACATGTGTATTGTAAGGCTAGCCTCTTGAGCATGTGTAAGGCTAGCCTCTTGAGCATGAGAGTAGGTATTTTCCTTTCCCCATAACATTTCCTGCATAGACAGTTTTATGCAGTGGACAAATTATAGTGGTGGTGAAATGAAATCCACAAGCCCCGCAATACCAATTTTATCCAAATGATGTCACCCAGAAAAGAGGTTCTAGAAGCCTGCACCCCCCTTACAATTCTCTGAATCTCACGAGTGGAAACCTTGCGGTCAGTCTTGACCTCCGTTCTGATCTCAGTGGGGGAGTGACAAAATCAGCTTTCCTTTTCCAGCTTGTTGTTTTGGCTGTAATAATTGGGTTTCGAGGGCATAAAAATTGAAAATCCCAGTGTGCTTACAGAACCTCACACATAGCCCTTTAGATCATGAGTTTTGTGAAAACCTATGATATACAGGCAGCCCCTCGCATACGTGCATTCAAAATGTGCTTGACCATGTATATGTGCATTGCACCAAACCCGGAAGTGACCCGGAAATGTCATAAAGTCACCACTGAAACGCCACTAAAAGGGCGGAATGGGGTGTTTGCAGGCTTTTTCAATGGGCTTCATTTATACACAATTTCACCAACGCGCGTGGTGCCATGGAACGTTACGCCCATGTAAAGTGGGGCTGCCTGTACAGTGTATTGTTGTAACACTCCCCCCAATGTTTATGGTTGCATTGTTTTGAACGGCTTTTGGATCGCTTTGCCATTTCCTTCCTCCTTGCAGAGAAATATTTGAGGTCAATTTGGGAGAGTCAAAGTGGTTTCAGGACTGCTCTCCTGTACTTTTTCAGACACTTGGCTTATATACTTGCGTATGTGTTTGCCTTGTACATTTATGAATGTTTATTTTATATTTGGGACCTTAGAATTCTTATAGCATTGTGTTTCTTTGTTGAAGTTTACTGGGTAATAAAACCCAGTTAGGTTCATCCATGCATATCTTAAGCAGAAGGAGCAGGATTTTGTTTGCCTGTTCTGCAAGCCTACATAAAAATAAGCCTTATTGGGGCTTTCATCAGTGTAAACCTTTATATGATTTCACTTTAACAACAGATACAGTAACAAATGTTTATTACTGTTGTTTGAATGTACGGATTTATATGTTTTATCCTACCTACAATTCTCGATCAGTTCCCACTCTGTTTAAAACATAAGTTTAAACTGTGATAGAGTTACAGAGCACCCCAATCTCCATGAGCGGTGCAAGCTTCCAGGCATGCTTTACTCACCAGGGTCTGTGTTTCCTTGGGAAAATGGGGTGTAGCGGAGACTGTAGTGTCTTTATGATACATGGTTTATTTACACATATATGCGACCTAAGTCTACCATGGAGAGATCTCCAGCATTATAATCCAATAACTTCTGGCTTCTCCCATAGTCATAGCATTAGATTCAAAACAGACATCAGTATCCTCCTTTTTTTTTTACTCTCTGTCCAGCCCACTGCTTATCTCCTAACTTCCATTCTAAACTCTAACCTTTAAAGCCCTAAACGGCCTCGGTCCAGTATATCTGAAGGAGCGTCTCCACCCCCATTGTTCTACCCGGACACTGAGGTCCAGCACCGAGGGCCTTCTGGCGGTTCCCTCACTGCGAGAAGCCAAGTTACGGGGAACCAGGCAGAGGGCCTTCTCGGTAGTGGCACCCCTGTGGAATGCCCTCCCACCAGATGTCAAAGAGAACAACTACCACCAGACTTTTAGAAGACATCTGAAGGCAGCCCTGTTTAGGGAAGCTTTTAATATTTGATGTATTACAGTATTTTAATATTTTTTGGA